AGGAAACCTACTAGAGTGGTCAGCCTTTTGGGATTCATATAATTATGCCGTACATGAAAATCCTTCATTGAGTGACGTACAAAGATTTAACTATCTGAAATCGCAACTTTATATTGTTATGTGGTATAGTAAGTATGCAAATTTCTGCATTTGGCGGAGAAGAAGGTGAGGTACGCAACCTAGAGAAAGCGACAATATGGATTGAGACAGAAAGAAAAGAAAGAATTCCAATGGAAGTAATAATTGTTTCAAAAATTGCCGCACTGATACATATGAAGAAAAGTGTAAACATCAACAGCTTGTCATATTTACGTGGATTACAACATGCCCACCCAGTCACACACGATGAAAAGTTCAACATTTCATTACTCGTTGGAGCAGATTACTATTGGTCTTTAGTACAAGATGACATTATTCGAGGTGATGGACCAACAGCGGTTAAATCCAAAATAGGCTATTTGCTATCAGGACCGCTGAACACAGGTATTAACACTAGACAATGGAACTCTACCATGATGAATGTTTAGTGGCGCACAAACCCGAGGAGTGCGATTTACAGAAATTTTGGGAGATTGAGTCGAGTGGATTAGAGACGGATTCTGATGAAAATACAAACAAAATGTACAAAACCTAATGCTTGAGTACCAAAACTCTAGGATAACTTTGAAGGAAAATAAATATGTAGCCAAACTTTCATGGAAACCAGATCACCCTGAGTTACCTACAAATGAATATGTAGCAAGAAGGAGGACCCAGAATGTTATAGCTAGGTTAGCTAAAGACCCGGATATGTTACATTTATACGATAAGATAATCAAAGAACAGAAAACTAAAGACTTCTTAGAAAAGGTACCCTCTACAGAAATCGATCGCGAAAATGGACGAATCCACTACATACCGCACCATCCCGTTAAGAAGTAATCAAACACGACCCCTATTAGAATTGTATATGACTGCAGTTGCCGTGGAAATCCAGACTTACCCAGCCTTAATGACTGCCTATCTTCAGCACCACCTATTTTGAATAAATTAACACACATACTAACAAGATTTAGATTAGGGAAATATGGAATTACAACAGACATAGAAAAGGCATTTTTACAAGTAAGACTTGACAATGAAGATCGAGACGCCACACGATTCTTTTGGCTGTCCGATTCAACTGACCCAACAAGTGACTTGACAATGTACAGATTTAAAGTTGTACTTTTTGGAGCAACGTGTTAGCCGTTCATTTTAAACGCGACATTGCTAAAACATATATCTACGAATCCAAGCAAAGTAGCTACAACTCTATAAGAAGACTTATATGTTGATAATGTACTTACTAGCATGAACTCCGAAGAAGCAGCAGTTAAATACTTCAATGAATCGAGAGAATTACTTAAACAGGGAGGCTTTAACTTACGGTAATGGATGTCAAACAGCGACAAACTCAGAGATTTGGCCCAATCTGAAAAAGTACTAGATGCAGAGAAGGAGACAAAAATATTGGGGATGCGCTGGAATGCAGACTCAGATACACTCAGCTTTGCCGAAACGATACAATTAAAGATGGACACACAATTGACAAAACGTGAACTTTTGCGACAGTCTTCCGCTATTTATGATCAGTTAGGACTACTCGGACCGATCACCATTAAAGCAAAAATACTTATGCAAGAACTTTGAAAAAAGGATATGCAAATGGACGAGATACTACCGAAAGAAATTTAAAACGCATGGACCGATGTGAAGAATGACATCTTACAGATAACTTCGAAACTTAAATTACAAAGATACTATTTTGCAAACCATGACGAGGAAACCAGCGACTCTACTCTACACTTTTTTGTTGATGCAAATCAGAAAGCATATGGAGCTTCCGTTTACTTGAGTAAAGGCAAGGTGTCAAAACTCGTTATCGCAAAGAACCGTGTTGTACCGTTGAAATTAATAACTTTACCGAAATTAGAATTAATGGCTACAGTGATCGGAGCACGACTCTCAAAAGATGTAATTGAAAACTTAGGGATTAAAAGAGCAGTATTTTGGAGCGATAGTCAAATAGTTCTACATTGGCTTACCTCATCGATACCGTTAAACAAGTTTGTAAAAAATCGTGTTAGTGAAATTAAAGATATAAATGAAACTCACGAATGGAAATATGTACCTACAGAAATGAACCCAGCTGACCTACAAACACGTGGAATAACTGCATCGCAATTTGAGGATTCGAAATTATGGATGAATGGACCCCAGTAGATAACGAACGAGCGTAAATGGCCAACGTGGACAGGACATGTGGAAATAAGCACTCAGCTATCCAATATCACAGGAACAGAGACACACAGAATTGACGATAAAAACCCAAGTGATCCGCAGCGAATATCACAGATCATAGATATGTCCAGGTATTCTGGTATTCTGATTTACATAAACTTTTAACTGTGACTGGGTACGTCTTTAAATTGGTAAATAACTGTCAGAAAAAACGACTATATCGACTTAGAAGTTCACAAGGAGACAGAAAGCTCAAGACAATTCTAACAAAAGAGGAAATTTCATTAGCCATGAATTTATGGATCAAAGATACACAACAAGACAGGTTCGTGAAAGAGCTAGATCATATTTCATTGATTCCGAAAATGAAATCACTACCGCTTGTACAACAGTTACGTTTATATCTGGATGAAAATGGAATCATACGATGTAAAGGCAGAGTACAAAATTCATCTCTAGAAGAAAACGCTAAGTTTCCTATTTTAATACCAAAGAACCACACACTTACAGATTTTGTTATTATGGACGCACATCTAAGAAATCTACATGCAGGAGTCGGCCAGACAATTACACAGATAAGACAATCATACTGGATACCGACAATTCGACAATGTGTGAACAGTGTCTTACGTTAATGCGTACAATGCCAAAAAATAATTGGTAAATCGTATAACAGACCGGAACCACCACCACTACCAAAGGATTGAGTAAAAGACACCATACCATTTTGTACAACTGGGATAGATTTTGCCGGACCTCTACACATCAAGGATACATCAACACAACCGCGTAAGGTTTACATATGTTTATTCACATGTGCATGTATACGACCTATACATTTGGAACTTGTACCTGATTTGTCATTGAACACTTTTATCTTAGCATTTAGACGTTTTATCAGTCGAAAAGGAACACTACAAACTATTTATTCCGATAACGCACCTACATTTGTAGCCGCATCAAATGAACTACAAAGTCAGCTGAATTTGCACATCGACTGGAAATTCATTCCGAAAGGATCCGGAGCGCCGTGGTATGGCGGATGGTGGGAACGTCTAATTGGCTTAACGAAAATGACATTAAAGAAAGTTTTTGGTAAAGCACTCGTCAGCGAACAATCTTTAACAACAATACTCACGGAGATTGAAACTATAATAAACAATCGCCCACTTACATATATATCTTCAGACATTAGAGATCCCGAACCATTGACGACATCTCATCTTTTACACGAAAGGATTATTTCGACGACAGAGATGCAGAACGACATACACAACGCGAATATTCAAGAACTTGACAAAATCACAGCAAACAAACTATTTTAGAGAAAAGGACTTTTATTAGACCACTTCGCAAAACGTTGGTCTAACGAATATCTTACCGGATTACGTGAATATCATCGAGCCTCGGGAAAACATAATGGACAAGTTAACATCGGTGATGTAGTTCAACTAGAAAGTGAATCACCACGACTTTTATAATAGGAATAATAGAAGACGTTATCAAAGGAGGGGATGGACTTATTCGTGCAGCAAAAGTACGGACTTCTAGAGGACTAGTTACCACACGACCAATTGTAAAGTTATATCCATTAGAACTATAGTAACTATTAAATGGTTTTTGTGAAGGACAGTTAACGTAATGTGAAATTTTACAAAAAATTTTCAATGTGATCTATTTATAGAACTTTAATAGTTTTGATAATTTATCATTTTAAAATAATTTGATTTCTTTTGCATTTTGAGGCCCCCAGAATGTCGTGAATATGGGCCAAGAGACTTTAGAACGTTATGTTATGTAATTGTTTCCCGTACTTTCGCGCACACTATTGTAATGTAACGTAACGCTATTGTTACGTATCTACGGATCTTAGAATCATAAAGCATCTCAACTAGCACGATGTTATTTTCTTTCACAAGTCTCACAAAGTGAATAACCATCAAGATAACCTTTTTTACTAGTTGTATGTTTGTTACCTTATATGGTCTGACTGGACAAGTAGTTCGTCACACTTGAAATTCAAGTTGACTAAAAAAAATAATATATAATTCTAATTTCTGACTTTCTGAAAATAGAAAATTTTATTTATAACATGTTTTGTTTTTGTTATTTTATGTTATACTTATAAATGACAAAAGCTTGTTATATTCGAAATGTTTGTAATAACAATCTGAAAATGGCTTTATTTACTGGAGTGTTTAATAAAGAAGAGATAATAGTACCAGACGAATCATGTCTTCATATTCAGCAAAAAAGGGCCCCTGTCTCTAGGCTAAAAGATGAACTTTGTTTTACTTTTTCGGTTTTCAATCAGAAAATGATTCTATAGAAAAGGGAAGGGTTTGGTACCAGTAAACTAGTTTAACAACGCCACATTCTATGTGACTGTCTTATGTCAGGAGCCTATTGTTCAGTGGTTGTCGTTGGTTCATGTCTGTCATATTTGTTTTTTGTAAATTGCTTTCTTATAAATTAGGCCGTTAGTTTTCTCAATTGAATTGTATGATATTTTTCATGTCGGGGCCTTTTATAGCCGACTATACGGTATGATTTTTCTCATTGTTGAAGGTCGTACGGTTGCCTGTAACTACTTTCATCCACCTCATTTGAACTTTGGTTGATAGTTGTCTCATTGGAAATCATACCTCATCTCCTTATTTTTATATTGAAATGTAAAAGCCTGGTTTCTTTAGATGAGTTTTAATCATTGAAATGTTATACTTCTTCTATTATTCAAGGAGTTCAACCGGGATGCAATGCAAACTACAATGACAGTTTAGATGAATGTAATAGACTTTGCAAAGGTCAAAAATATTTTAGCTACAATGTAAGTATGTGTTCCTATGTAAAATATCGACTGTATAGATATAAACCGTACAATAAAATCATCATTTATTTATCGGGACCTTATATATTATTGACGATTAACCTAAACTTTTAAATTCCAACATTTCCTTTTCATAACTTTTATTATACTCTATAACATTTGTGATTTCTAAATATATGCTATAGGTTGCACTTGGTAAATACAGCTGTTTACAAACCATGCCTTTTCGGGGGAGATATTTAATATTCATAGATATTTTTCTTTCTTTATCTACTGGTTCCCAGATATGATCTCTATGTTTCATCTCATAGAGACACAACTTTACCAGTTTACCAGTATGGATAGCGGCCAAATTGAATTCTAAGGAAATTGCATTGTCTGTATTTATATGAGTGCAACCATTACGCCTTTTTAGATAGTTAACAAAAGTAATAATCTACTAGGTAGGATGTAATAAATTTATGATCAAATTGACTGTACGGGGGTTTGAAGTAGGTGAATGCCTCAACCGTCTGTAATCAAAACATGCGCCTACCATAAGCTTTGTGTAGGCAGGTAAACAGTTTGTACTTCAAAGGGGTTTTATTATTAATAGCTAAGTCGGTAACTTCAAAAATTTATTATTTTTCCGAAAAATGATGCAAATATATTAACTTGATCTTTTTGTACATTAATTTTAGTGCTATCATAAAGGCATCACATGAACAGATTTAGAATCCACTTATGGCAAAATTTTAACATTTCTGACATTTCCGTGCCCCTGTTTGAAAAATTTAATGTATTGCCATCGGTACACACAAAAACAATAAAAGATATATTTCACAAAATTAGCTATTGAAAATCAAATCCAAAATTTTCTACATGAGAAAATGTACAAAGTCAGGAATATGGCAGTTGTTTTCCATTCGTTAGATGTGTTTGAGCTTTTGATTTTGCCATTTGATGAGGGACTTTCTGTTTTGAATTTTTATTGGAGTTCAGTATTTTTGCTATCTAACTTTTTATTTAGAAATGATTTAAATTACATCCATGTGTCTTTGTTTGACGCATAAAACGTTTTCACACTTGAAGACTAGCTTAATTGTTGTTAAAAGAATAATAGAACGGGGTCAATTATCATGAGGGTGATTTCTAATTTTATTTCCTAACTGTTGTTTACTATTACTCGATATAATGGCACAACGTGAAACTCGAAAAAAAAGAGGCGCGAGATCCCGAAGGAACATTCAAACTCATAAGTTAAAAAAGAACAGACAACGCCATAACAAAAAGCGAAAAAACCAAAAAACAACAGTACACAAAACCCAAACACAACATAGAAAACCAAAGACTGATGAACACGAACCCCATCAAAAACCGAGTGTAATCACAGGTGCTCCGAAAGGGAAAGCAGATTCTGCTCCACATGAGGCACCCGTAGTAGTGCTCATCTAGGTACAAAACCGATGATTAGACTAATTCGTTAGGTCACATTCGAAGAAAAAAGGATGGGATTGTAGTTACGACAATTGGAACATATCCGTCGTCATCTGTGAAAGAGATATTTCACAACGGTCAACCAATTTTTGATGGCGTCCGTTAAATTTTTCGAAGGGATGATTTCAACTTCCTTGTAAGCAGCAATCCTCGATCAAGGAAATTATGACAGGCAATGCAATCTCTGGAATATCGTATCAACTTGAAGATATGTACTCCATATACAGGTGCTGCTGGAGTGTTGCTACATAGAAATAGAAAGTTCACAATTTGGAAGCTGAAATCCTATCTTTTGTCGTAAAGTATTAATTTCATACGAAAGTTATTGTCAATGTCTAGATGTAAGTTAAGATATGAGGTAGACTTAACTGTATCTGTTGTATCCTTTGTTCAAGTTCGATGGGATAAATGCATTCCACAAAGTCACAAAACTTTGAATTATTAAGTAAGAAAACATGAACTATATAGTTGAACGTAAAGAACGTCGAAGTGCATAACAACTCTACCCAGGCCTTCTCGATATCAAAAGGTCAAGATATAAGGAGTTAAAGAGTACAAAAATAATAAAAAGGGTTACGCTGTTCCTTTGCTTTTTGTGTGTGTTTTTTTTTTGCTGTGCATATATACTGATTTTGTGACATGGATAAGTTCCCTATTTCCTTTCTTTTTATTACACAATCAAGCCAAAACTGTTGATGGCCAACTTTGCCCGAGGAAACAACTTTCAGTTCAACAAGAAATTACACATAAACTAACGAAATTATGGGTTTTCGAAAGGAAAATTTCAATGATTAAAAAGTACTCAAATTTAGAGTTTAAGATGGGAACTCCATATTTCAAAATTCTAACATTCTAAACTTTTATACTTTGAAAACCAAATATATGTGTTTTTATTTATAACCCAAATAATATTCCGTTGAATTGGCAACGTAAATTTATAAATATGTTGTGCGAAATACAAAAGTAGTTTTTTTCATAACGAGAAGCTTTGAAAATTAAATTACAGGAACATTCTTGTACCTGTTCAAATGATAACAAGGCAATTGGTGGACTGACAAGGACAAAAAAATGTAAAAACCAAGAGTATGGGCTCTGTTTTGATAACAATTGTGTTGTTTATGAAAGAGGTGAGTTTTGTTATTTTCCACTTGCACTATATGCATGTAGTGATCTTTAATTTCAAACTTAAAACAAATAATGTAAACATCTTCAAACGGGAATTAACTACCATATAGATATATAATACTAAAAGAGTAGACCTATTTTTGTATGTCGCTTCTCTGTCCTCCAGATCAAATCAATCACTATGTATCTACTCAAAGAGTAGTATACACATTAAGGTTAGTTATCCGCCCTAATGATTATTCATTTTGTGTTAGTTAGGGAATAATTTGGGAAACACAATGATTTCCGGATGTCCTTTCCTTCATTACCATCGGATTCAGATGTTATGCCTAATCATGAATGTTTCGTATATTCCTCCTATCTAGCAGTATCGCCGTACGATATGGTATAATGAGGAACATTTAATACACTGCATCGGTATAGATTAATGTGAGCATTTGCTTACCCAGCCACACTTTTCTGTGTAGGTATACATTTTAACAAACAACCCTAAATGTGTTACTAACAACACTTAACAGGCTGACAATTCACACCTTAAGACTGAGTGACGGTTATAGAGAGTCTCGACACTCAGTCTTAATGGAGTCAATATATTCAGGACAAACTTATAACGGAGGGCAAACTTTTGATTAAAAGGGCCGTAATGATGTTATATGATATCAAAATTTAGTCAACTGTAATGAAACCCACAAATTAAAGACAACTACGTATTGCACGTTCATGTTAGGCCAACAAATATAACCCTATTTCCTGCGTCCCTTCCCACCCTAAATATGAAATCGTTACACTTATTGGAACAACAATCCCGTCCTCCTTCCCTCGACTGTGACATTACCGAAAGCGATTTATTACCGGATTTTTTTCAACAGAACGGTGTCATATGTGGTGAAGGAACTGCTGACCATTCCGGGACACCTGACCTCACCCCGGTTTTAATGGTGATCGTGTGTTACAGTCTGTATTTTCTATGCAATGTTTTGTTATTGTTGTTTGTCCTTTTGTCTTTTTTTTAATTTTTGGCCGTGGTGTTGTCTGATTTATTGGACTTATGAATGCCCACTTAGTATATTCCATCTTTTATTATTCATGCATACCAGAACGCATTTTAAAGACATTTTGGTTAAGTACTGTTAAAGTTAAGACATTTTTTATCAAACGCAATTCAAGTCCAAAATATTTCCCCACATGCATGATGTTTGTAATTTTTTTCAAAAATAAAAATGTTTTAGTTTAAAGCAACTATATGCAAAGGATTTTTTTTTTGTTTGTTTATACACAGTTTTCATTAAGAAGAAAAACCGACATGGTTAGAACATACAAATAATAACACCATTACAAACACAATTCCATCTTAATATTCTTGTCACGGTTAGAAAATACATAAAATAAATCCATTACAAACTCAATCGTATATTCTTGTACGTGTCTAAAATAAAACAATTCTATTCTATTTTTAGAAACTTACCTCTGATAATATAAACGTCACAAAAAATACGTCACTTTTTGTGACGTTGATACATTCGTGTGACGCACAGTTTATAATTCGTTTGTGGTGTCCTGGTGTGCTGTCGTTGATTCATGGGAGGTGTTCGTTGTAATTCTGTGGTTTACATGTTGAAATGTACTATTATACTATTTATTTATGTGTTTCTCTGTCGTGAGTGTTCTTGCGTTTATTTGTACTGTATTCCTGTCACGTAATGTTGTCATTTTAGCAGTATTTTTATCATTGTCATATAAGCGGAAGGTTTGTGTAGCCATAAAACCAGGTTCAACCCACCATTTTTTTCTTAAAATGTGCTGTACCAAGTCAGGAATATGGCAGTTGTTATCAAATAGTCTGTTTCTATGTACGTTGGCGTTTGTTTTTGCAGCAGTTCAGTGTTTCTGTTGTTCCGTTGTTTTCCTCTTATAGTTGATGTGTTTCCCTCGGTTTTGGTTTGTGACCTGGATTTGTTTTCGCTTAATCGATTTATGACTATTGAACAGCGGTATACTACTGTTGCCTTTATTAACTACCTACCTATCCTATTTTTCTGTTCGGAGACATGAAACAAGTATTTATATTCTGGGCATTTTAAAAATACGGTAAATATTAATAGGGTTTGCTATGGATGATCACCAATTGGTTTTCAATTTGTTTGTAAGTAGGATATTATGTTGTCTTGACAGCGGGATATTCAACATAATCTTGAAAACTTAACACTCTACTGTTGATTCTGGTAAAGTTGTATTTCCGTTTGCAAACTGAAAGATTTCAGACAGGAGGATTTTCTAAACTGTTAACAGTTACAAAAATAACATTACTTGCCGAATTTAATTTAACCAAATTTGGCCACAATCATCATTGGAGTATCTATACTTTTAAAGGTGTCCGATGACCCTGTGTACCAACCAACA